ATTAGCGCCCGTGTCAGAGCCCCCAACCTCAGGCCACCAACATTCTCCGCACCTCCAGACCTGGCCCTGATTGAGCCCACGGTCATCTATCCTCTAGCCAGCCTCGATCCCAACTGGGCGGTCAGGGTCTGGAGGTCTGAGCCCCAGGGAGTCGTTGGGAGCAGAGAGGAGATCCAAAACTCCGCTCCGGCCCCAAGCCATTCCAGGGAGGGGTCAGGTCTTGGGTGACGTGGGGCACAGAGGTCCTGCCCTGGCGCCCGGCTTACCTGTTCCCCTTGACGGGGTGGGGGGGAGGTATGTTCCCACCTCCCCCCTAGCGGCTTCCCGCCTCTTACCCACTAGTGATAGGAACACAAGGACATTAATAATCATTATAAATAGAGAACACCACACACAGTGCTGCCTTTAACCCTCACAGCCAGGCAAGTGTCTTGCTGTCACCTGTGCAGAGAAGAAATGTAGGCACAGAGAAGGTTGGCAACTTACCCAAGATTTCCCAGCCAGCACTTGGCACGTCTAGGACTGGAACCACGCGCTGTGGAGTTCAGCTCCACTGTGGACCCTTCTCTACACTGCCCCACCGCCCTCCCGTTCCTGATCAGTCACGTGCACCCACTGGCTCTCCTGCCTCCCCAGCTGCCATCCCTCAGGGTCTCTCTGACCATCCCCCATCCTCTCTGGCCTAAATGAGTGGTCCAGGTACTCCCTTGCTCTCCCTGCACTGTCACTTCACTGGAATGGAGAATTGCCATTTTGAAACACAATCCTGACCCTTCTGGCTCCCCACTGCCCTCAATACAAACCCCACGGTCTTCTGCACACCTGGGTCCTGCCCTTGTCCCACTCCCTACCTCAACTCTGGCCCATTCCAGCCCCCACCCCACCTGCAACCTGCAGCACACCCAGCCCCACCCCCACTCTGCAGCACCCCAACCCCACTCCCACCCTGCAGTACCCCTCATCCCCTCTGGGCTCTGCCCAAGCTATTCCCTTGGGAACTGTGCCTGGAAGAGCCTCTGTCCTCTCAGGAGTTCCCTCTTCCAGGGAAAACTGAAACCGGTGAGGTGTTGCAGGTACAGGTCCCCAGGCAGAGGAGAGCTGGGCTAGGGAGAGCCAGCCATCAGGGTGTAGGGCCCATCGAAGCCCCGGCTGCTTACCCTTCCCAAGCCAGTGAGAAGGCATGTTTCCAAACCCTGCTCTGGGCCGGTGTGGGCACCTCGTGGGTGGATGGTGGTGGGCCCATCTCTGTCCTGCCTACGTCTGAGTGATGGCCCAGAGGCAGACCTGAGCAGCCTCCTGTGCTTGGAGTCAGACTCCGCGGGCAAGGAAGCCAGGAGAGCCGGTTCCTGAGCCCACCTGCGGCTGGTGCAGCCAGCGCTGGGGGTCACAGACACGCGCTTCAGGACAGAATGAGTAGAGAGGTCCAGGGCTAGTACGAAGGCTGCCTGGGACTTTGCAGGCAGGTTTGTGGGAGAAACCACCATAGCGTGAAGAGCTCGGACAGGTGAGTTAGGCTGCCAGTGGCAGGTGTGTGAAAAGCTGGCTCTGAAGCAAGGAGGGGTGGGGGTGGGAGTCAGAAGCAGGAAGCGAGCCAGAGCGAGGCAGTCCAGTGCCCGGGTGGGGGATACGGTGAACGGTGGGGAGGGGCCATGGCCAGGTGAGCGGCCCCAGGTGGCAGTGGCAGTCCAGGCAGGTGGGCGAGGGGGCATGGCCCACACCTTAGGTGTGTGAGCAGGAAAGGATGCGTCCTGGGTGGGGCCCACCTCCCTATGTGGGGACGCGCTGCCCCCTGGCGGAGGTGCGGGGCATGGCGGTCCCTGAGGGCGGCCGGCTCTCCTCCCAGAGCCTTGCCAGCCTCCCACACCTCCAAGGCTGCTTCCTCCATGAAGCTCTCCAACCAGCAGGCTCCCCTTCCCCTTCAT